ACCTTGATACTACCGACGGCCTTGCCGAGCAAGCGTGCACAATGTCATACTCGTTATCGTGGATGCTGGGCTAGCCGACCATGTAGCAGTATCACGATAACCACTGAGGCCCACCGCACATGCCGGGAGAAGGTACTCATCGTCCGCAAGCACCGCTCGGACCAGCCAAACCCCAACTACCCGGACGTCATCGACGGCGGCGGCGACGGGGTAGGGGAGAAGGAGGTGGGGGGACGCGGCTCCGACAGCTTGGGTTTTCAGGGCATGACCAATGCATAGCCCCAGGGTGATGCCCCGTAGGCCACATAGGATCGGATGTCAGGAAAAGTAGGTTCAGATGGAGCAGCGGGATCCTTTGCAGGAGGCGGGTGTTTGGAAAGAAAAAGTGTGGTCTGATGCGTAAAGCTGAAAATGTTAAAATGGTGAGTAGAGATGCACGTGTGGTGGGAGTCTTTATTTTCTATTCTTTGATGAGGCCCCACTAATGGCAGCATACATTGGGGAGAAAAAATCGATATAGATGCTTCAAGCTACTTTTTATCATGATGCACATGTATCCATATGTCACCATTGTATATGTGATCTGTATCCATATGAGGCTGTTGCCTTTTCTTCTTTTCCTTGCTGATATGATGCCTTTCTTTGTATCTGTGGTCACGATGACTCCAGTCCAAAGCAGAGCCGATGGCGAGCCCCACGATCTCGGACCGGATCCGACCCTACTTGACATCCTTGTCAGCAGCAAAGCGACGGACACACAGAATCGCGCGGCATGGCACTCGAAAAAGAAAGAATGTCTTCCTTTAATCCTGTCAAAAAGAAAGAATGTTTTTCCGCTGTTCTTTGCCACACCCACACGCGCACGCATCGCCGCCCCGGCGACGAAAACCACCGCTCCTCCGTCAATCCACGCCTTTCTCTAGAACGCCCGGCCGGGTATAAAAGGAGGCCGTGGCAAAGCAGGAACTCATCGACCATTCAGTAGCTAGCTAGCTCCGAGTCCTGTCGAGATACGCACGCACTCATCATTTACAACCGTTTCTGCATGGCTTCCTACGCGGCTTTCCTCCTCCTCGTCGCTGCTTTGTTTGTGTGCTGCTGCCACGCGCAAGGCGGCGACGACGGCGCCGTGGCGGCGATCTACAGCCTCGGCGACTCCATCACGGACACGGGGAACCTGGCCAAGGAGGCGCCGCCCGGCGCGTTCGAGACCATCAAGCACCTCCCCTACGGCGTCACCTTCGGCCGCCCCACCGGCCGATGCTCCGACGGCCTCCTCATGATCGACTTCCTCGGTACGCACGTTCGTCCCAACTAGCAGTGCATGCATACTCTGCTTCAGAGTGAACGGCAGGAGTAGTACTGCACGTAGTGAACGTACGTGACACTCTGGTTCATGTGCAATGCAGCTCAGGACATGGGCCACCCGTTCCTCAACCCTTACCTGGCCAAGAACATGAGCTTCGACCACGGCGTGAACTTCGCCGTCGCCGGAGCCACCGCCATGGACCCTGCCGACCTGTTCAACCGCACCCTCTCCATGCCCTTCACCTCCAACTCCCTCAAGCTACAGCTCCGGTGGTTCAAGGACTTCATGAAGTCCACCTTCGCTACTGATGCAGGCAATTCATAAATTTTCTTCCCACATTATCTCAACGCAGACTGTTTTCGCAGTCAGGCATACTAATTCTCTATGTAAAATTTCTGTGTGCAGAAATTCGCAAGAGGCTCCAATCTTCTCTGGTTTTGGTCGGGGAGATCGGAGGAAACGACTACAACTTCGCCTTCTACGCAAACAAGTCTGTCAGTGAGGTGGAGAAAATGATCCCAGCTGTGGTTCAGACCATCATCAACGCCACCAAGGTACTATCTTCAAACATCTTCTCTTACACGTACATCCAAAAGATTGGGAACTAATTCTGCCGAGTTGCCTCTCTCATCACACACAGGAAGTGCTTGACATGGGCGCGAGCAGAGTCATCGTCCCGGGCAACTTCCCCATCGGCTGCCTCCCGAGCTACCTCACTGCCATGGCTGCGCCAGAGCCGTCGGCATACGACTCCACGGCCTGCCTCAAAGACCTCAACCTCTTCGCCGCCAAGCACAACGCGCAGCTCCAGCGGGCCGTCGCCGGTCTCCAGGCGTCATACCCGGACGCGGCCATCGCCTACGCCGACTACTTCAACTCCTTCCTCAGCCTCCTCAAGGGCGCCCCGGCGCTCGGCTTCGACGAGAATAGCACGCACAAGGCCTGCTGCGGCGCCGGCGGCAGGTACAACTATGACTTGAGGCTGATGTGCGGCGTGGAGGGGACGGCGGTGTGTGCGGACCCGTCGGCGTACGTGAGCTGGGATGGCATCCACATGACCCAGGCGGCGTACAAGGCCATGTCCAGGCTCATCTACCACGGGAGGTACCTGCAGCCACAGATACTCAGATTCCCGGAGGAGAAAAATGGACAGACATGATAAACTGTTTGATTCTCCCCTAGACTAGACGATGGAAGCCTCACCGCAACATTTTGAGCCTTCGATGAGTTCTTCCATGGCTATGCTATATATGCACTCTGCACTATGTATCCAGATTAAACTACTCCGACCTAAAGTAAAAGTAAAGATGCAGTTTTAGCATGTTGAGCAGGGTATACAGTTAACAAACAAAGTTACTTCTCTCAAGTAAATTGAGAGGATTTTACGTGTTGATCTGGTACAAAGTTACAAACCTACATTTCTCTAAAGAACTTGCAAAGTTACAGCATAAGAGTAGCCTGCCCCTGGTATGTTGCCTCAGTTCATGTATCTAGCTAGTGCTATCACACTTTCATCAGGACTCAAGCCTCCAGCGAGCTTTGATCCTTGAGAGTACAGAGGGCAAATCTTACAGGAAAAAACCCACCAGCAAATAAATGCACACAAATCCAAACACTAAGAGCTAAGATTTAACAGCCTTGATTTGATCTATGCTAAACAACTATGTACATTGAGAATACCAGTTGAGCTCAGAATTCTGGCGAATGATCTCCGGTGCAAAGTTGTTTGAAACGGGATAGCAGCAATGTTAAATCTGGGTCAGCTTCATGCTTCTTCCAAGCTTCCTCAAACTGCTGTCCCTTGCATCTACAAGGGTACATCTTACCATGAGAAGACCAAATGACAGATCTCAGAGGAAAAAATGATGAAATGCGGAAAAGTACAAAATATTTAAGTAGGAGTTCTGGCTGGATATGTATAAGTACATACTAAGACAACAACAATTTGCACCTGAATCCAAGTGGCAGAAACCAACAGAAGATAACCAGTATCTCCCGGGACAGAAACTGACCTGGTTTGAGTGCACTCTAAAGATCAGAATACTTTACTCCCATCACCACTCCAGTATCATAATACTAAGGTTAACATTAAATATTTTTACCCTGGCCAGAAGTATTGTTCCAACGATTAATCTTGTTCCAACTAGTCCATTGGTTGTACAGACACAGTGCTAGAAGAAGCTCCCACACCAGGTGGGGTGTGGGTCTGGGGAAGGATTATACGAGGCAGACCTTACCCCTGCACAGTGCAATTCAGAGAGGCCAGGTTAAACCCAGGACCTCTTGGCACAAGTGGGGGGTATATCACCACTGCGCCAGGCCCCCATTGTTTGATTAGATAAATTATCTTCAGACGTAACCTAACTTGGTTGGATGAAATAATAGAAGGTTATCTTGAGAACCAATTCATAAAAGTCATAAGCATGATACACTGAAGAATAACCAATTTAACTGCCCACCAAGACAGTAGAATGGCAGCCAACGAGGTGCAAGATAAGGACTCATTCTGAACCAGTGTACTATTCTAATTTCCGAACCTAATTTACTCCCAGAGATGTACAGCTGCCATTTAATAGGAGTGTGATGTAAAAACTAAAATCACTAGTGAAGGATAATCTTACTTCTGGAGTAGCATGAGTATATCCATTATGTGATTTCGCATGATCTCATGGCTCTTTCTCATGGCCGACTCCCTATACAAAAGAACAAGCTCATCCACCAGTCTAAATACAAAAAAAAAAGTGAGTTGGAAATTTCCAGATTCAGCAAGTGCCAAGTAGATAAAACAAAAGATGACAACAATCCTAAGAAGTACTGCACGACCTAGTTACAGAGGGAGTATCATATTCTCTAGTACCTTGAAGTGTAGGGCGACTTCCTGATCCAGGTGAGCTTAATAACTATATGAATTCGCTCTAACACCTGCAAATGATATATGGCTGGAATATTAAAGAAATGTGATTAATACATAGATAATCACATTGTCCATAATCAGGACAACCTTCTTACCAGAAGAACTGTTCTATCATCATCAGCATGCATCCATTGGAAAAATAGAGAGAACAGGAGACGAAAATGTGCCAACAGGAAGAGGCCCATAGCATCCAAAACTGGCCCGATAAGGGTAAGCCATGCAACACGACGTTCTTTGTTTAGTGGTTGCCGTTCCAGGTGTCCCAACATCTCAGAAAGTACGCGGTCGTACCTGGAACCAATGGAAAACTGAAGTTGAAGGAAAAGGACAAGATATGTAGTTGAGGTTTAAAGTAGAGATGAACCAGACTGATGGTACCTATATAAAACTCATATTAGTAGACAGCTGAGTAACTTTAAGTCAGTGTCTTTGTCCTAGCTTTCCACTCTTCAGCCAATGACTATAACTGTTAATCTCAGATTCCCCCACGATTATGATGTACTTCAATATAAGTAGAACAAATTCCATCTACGTTGCTTTTCTAAACAGTGCTATCAATGTTGTTAAGGCGGCAAGGCGACCTAATGCGAGCACCCACTGCCCTAACACCTAAGCACCTAGCTAAAGCGTGCATAATTGCAAGGAGCTGCCAGGGCGCCTTGATGCCTAAGCGCCCAAGGCAGGACGCCTTAAAAACAATGGTGACTATTGACTACAGAAGGAGAAGATGATGTAATAGTCTTTTATCTCACTAACTTAAAGGCAGATTTTCAGTTTTAAGCCATTCCATTTGCCGAAAAAGGCTTTCGCCCCGCTTTATATTATAAAGCACATGCCCAAGCCAACAATCCACAGAGGTTCAAACACACACACACACACACCGATCCATAAGGGTTAATGCTGAGGGCACAGCTCAACAAGCCCTAGAACAGAAATAAACG